AACCAACTACAGCATGACATAATATCTCAGGCAGGTTTCCTTGTACCGTTCTGCAAGCGACAGAGCAACCGGCACTAAGTGCCTAACTCGGCGTCCTTTCACATGTTTGAGAACCGGAAATACTTGGTTGGACTTCGCCACGTCCCTCCATTTCAATCTTCCGATTCTCTGGCTGGCAGCCACATGCAATCCTTCATAAATGGACTGTATTTCCTCATAAATCTCTTTCCAGCGGTCGTCCCTGTTTCCATGGCCTGAATCCTCAACCAAGTCCCACAAAAACGATCCGAGGAGGTGGCAGCTTATGCCCAGATCCCATGTGTGCAGAGTGTCCAAAGCAATTGCAAGTGGGTTGAGGCCAGGGATGGCGAAGAGCTTGTGGCCGCCGAACTCGTTGCAAAAGTCCTCTGCTGTCTTCACTTGCGTTCTCCAAGCAGCACTTGCTCTCAGGTCGTTCCATGGTACATCTGTCCTTCGCTTCATAGCACATATACTTGTCTCATACACACACACATATGCATATCTGTTTATACATGTACATGCATAAACAGATACATATACATTTACATATACATATACAAAGACATATACATATACATATAAATATACATATACGTGGGAAATAGCATAACAAAACATGCGAATGCACACATAGCATCTGGTTGCACCAGCACCACGGGCAGGGATGCTGCTGGTTGTGTCGCGGGAAAGCAAACTCAGAATAAAACCAGTCCAGGTCACCGATGATTGCAAAGACCATCCCAGTTCTATGCTTTGCCATCCGTTTGAAACTGTCCACGATGGCGTCCCACAGATCAGCCAAAAGCTTTTCCGTGACAATACATTTTGTAATTGTAAACAACACCTCAGTGAGGCTTGGACTTTAGCTATAAAAGAAACCACTATTTAATATGCATTCGGAAACAAAAGTATTCTAGACTTTCATGCCGATTAAACATCCAACGCACCAGCTGGCTGTGGTTCACCGGTAGTTTCGAGGTCATACTCCTCATACTCACCGTCAGCAGCGAATCAGTCTCGGTGTGCGGTGCGGCATCACCGTGCCTGATTTTTTTCTCGTGACAGCAAAAAACATCCTGATTGGCTGTCCAACCATTCTGTAACAAAAACAATCCAAGAACAAAAAGAAGTCTAAGCCTATATCCTTGGGCTGTCCAACCCATTCAATCCAGTCCATTCACCGAAACTGAAAGTATTTCTGATCTTCATGGGTTCCTTAGCGATTGTTCTTCTCGTTACACGGGCTGTCCAGCCCTTCCAACCCTTTGGCTGTCCAACCCTTCTGTGTCTTCATTCCT